TCAGGACCTGGACCATCACGCAGGAAGAGAGATGCAAAGAATTAGAGTGAGTGAGTAAGAGAGAGAGAGAGAGAGGGAAAAGTTTATAGAAGAAGGAGAAAAAGAGTGAGAAACAAGTAGTGCTGGTGGTGGTGGTGGGAGATAAAGAGTGGGATGCAGAGAATCTGAGGTCGTTCTGACTTGCTTCAATTAATTACCACATTGTCGTCGTGGTCTTCTCTTGCCTGCTGGTTCTCTAGACCCTAGGATGTTCCGCCATGGTAATCCCTAGGGGAGGTAGTACCCCGCCTTGATTTAATCTCTCTGGATATTTTTTTTTTTTTTTTTTTGCTTCTTTTTCCCTTGTACATTGCACTTACCGTCGTCCCTTTTGCAATTGATTCTCACGATACTTGCGCGCCTCACAACTTGAGTATTTCTACGTGTAAAGTACATGCACTTTCATCAAATGATTAAACGAAAAGTGAAAAACAGGTTCCTGGAGAATGGAGATGAAGAAATGGAGAAAAACGAGGTGTCAGTGCGGAGAGATCTTCTCTCCTTTTGGTTTTGTTCCTTTTATACGCAAGCACCTAAGTGCCACGCTGCAACACTCAAGTCAAAAATATATGAGAGACTGATTATAATTGTCAGCGGCGATATCATCGTTCTTCTTTTTTCTCCTCGGGATGAATACGTATCTCCTTTTATTTGCCAAACAAACCTTTTGCTAAACACTTTTCGAAACGTCGCGAAATTGTTGCTAGAAATCTTTTACAGCTTTTCAATTTTAGGCACACTTTAAAAAATATTGGTAAATTTTCCTAACTTTTCCTAACTGTTCTCTAATTATTTTGGGTAAAATCCTTTCACCCAAAACTTTTGGTCTACCAATAGTCGTGTAAAATATTTTCGTCTTTTAAAATGGTTGTCACATTTGGTTCGTCTAAGGATTTTAAATTGAGACGCAACACTTTCGATACATTTTTTGTCTCAATTTGCTATTCTTATCAAAAGTCTGATGGCGATAAATTTTTGTCTCAATATAATCCTTAGAAAAGTGTGATAAAAAAAAGATTTCAAGCAATGAATGCAGGAGGAAATGGAAACACAAATGTGACTATATGGCAAAAGACAAAAATCGAGTGTGGAATAGAATGAAGTGGAATAAAGAGAGAACACGACACAGAAAGAAACAGGTTACGCCTTCGAGATGCTATCATCATCTGCTCTAATAAACTGAGACCCAACATTCCATGGAGTAGTACACATCAACGTGACGATCCTGACTTCTCGAAACGACTAAAGTTCCTTCAACTGACACTTGACACAGTGATTGCGAATGCATCTGCAACAGCTGACAATGCAAGTGATGATCTGCTAAAGGAACTTTTAGCAAAGAGAGAGAGAGAGAGAGATTAAAATTTCGCACCTGGCTGGTATGGCCGCATGTCTTGTTATCGAGATCGCGTCGAGAGCCTCTTATGTATTCCAGGTTTCGGACTCACCTCACCCTGAGAGAGAGAAGGTTCCCGAGGTCGAGACACCTATGAGAGGCGCGGACGTTACTGTCACTTTCCTGAAGAATGAGCATGCATCCCAAGACAATGTTCTCAGTTCTCCCCGCATGCTTGCTGCAATTTATGATGCGACCTTCATTTCTCTTCCGACGACAGATGCAGCACTTCTCTCCACGATTCTGGAATTCTTCGCGAAACCTAGATTTTATTCATTTTTATTCACTGTCTCTTTTCTTCTTTATATTGTTTTTCCTCACTTGAAATTTCCTAATAAAAAAAAACTAATTTTTTTGGCTTCAAGCAAATTAATATATTTACCTAATATATTTACTAATTAAAAACTTGAAGTCAACGATATATTTATATTAATTTCAATTAATGTTGGTTGAGAATATCAAAATTTTCCACCACGAAAGCATGGAGGAGATATTTTCGTTTCGCATTTCTGTTTCCTTGGAAGCATTTATCATCGTACTTTTCCAGTTGTCGGTGATGTGGAGAAGAAATTGGTTAGGCGGGAGATTTCATAGTAGCAATATATACCCTGTCAACGGGGAAGAACTCGGAAGCAGAAAAGCGTTGAGGAGACGATGGAAAGTGTATAGAATGACAAACTTCTGTACAGTCTGGTGTCAAAAGGATTGACTCAGAGGTCAGATTATAATTCATACACGTCGCCCATCTGTCCAGGTGATTTATATTTTATTCAAGGTAGTAGGAACAACAATGGCTACTGGAAATTTATCCATGCTATTTACTTATGATTTTCTATTTTATCTATTTTTTATTTTCATCAAGTAAGTATTTCATCAGAGTACAAAGTCGAAACGGAATTTTGCCTTTTTAGAAAGTAATAAAGAAGCCGTTTTGAAAAATCCGACTCGAGAATTAATTTGAATTCGCACATTGCCATTGTCACCAGAAAGACTACCACGAGAGAAAGAAAGAGAGAGAGAGAGACTCCTGTCCAAAAATAGCCATACTCTGAAAATAGTCTGCGATGCAAAGAAGCTACACTCGTCGAAAAGATTTAAGCGCACACAAAAGCGAAACCTTATCGTCCATGTGTCCCTTTGAGAAATTATGGTCGCTCTTCATCAAGATTCGCAAATCTTCGCCTTTTGGTCCCGAACTTTGAACAAATCAACAGATTTTACAACGATCCTGTATTAATTTTCACACCATGGAAATTTTTCCCCAAATGTTAGTTAAATTACCTAGAAAAATTTGCCTCATTAGATCAGTCCATAATTCTAAGTTTTTTTCTACAAGTTCTTGTTTTGCTTAATGTAGGATAACAAAAATTGTTGATATAGTTTAAAGCAGGCAGGTACTAGTGAAAGAAGAAAGTGTAGCAAAGAACGAAGAATTAAAGAGGAAAAATTGTGCGGGAAAATTCGATCAGAATTCGGGTGACCTAACGTGGCATTTGCAGCACTAGGATTTAATGAATAGCAGGCATTACATCCTATTTGGTCTCATTGCGACCGTCGTGACGATGCTCAGCATAGCATAGCTCTCGCGCTATTTGCAGTCCAAGCGGAGAATAGGGGATACAATGGACGCCGACGTCGAGCGTCGCTATGTGCTCAATGAAAACTACCCAACCCATTGGCGTATTCAGAGCGACAACTTAATTTTCACTGTGAATGCGATAATCTCAAGCATTCTTTCAACTTAATTCTTATTCTATGCCGAATATTTAGATTCTTTTCATTAATTCTTTGATGAACAATGTCTACTTCCGTAAACATGTTCTTATAAAGATCTAACGATGGTTTAATGAAGATTTGTCAAAAATCTGTCAAAATGCTGGCAAAACTTTAGCAACCTTTCTTAGATCTTGTCAAAGGTCTGACAAAAGTCTAACAAAGGTCTAATGAAGATCTAACGAAGATCTAACAACGGTCTAACAAAGGTCTAACAAAGGCCTAAAAAAGGTCTAACAAAGGCCTAAAAAAGGTCTAACAAAGATCTAGAAAAGATCTGAAAAAGGCCTTACAAAGATCCATCAAAATTTTAAGAAAGGTTCTGCCTAATATCCAACAAAAATGTAACTTAATTCTAACTACTATTAATTTTCCTCCGTTGCTTCATTGTCCAACAGTAAAAAATCGTATTCTCTCGTCGAACAACGAAACAAAACGGAACATATTTCGTTATTTTTTTTCTATAACAAACAGAATGACACGAAAAGGGTTAAAAGAAAGCATATCCAGCATGTGAAACAGTAAATTTTGTCGTCAGTTGTCAAGAGATTTTGTTCCCTCTACTTCTTCTTTTTTTTCTCTCTCTCTCTAGTAAAGATTTATAAATCTCTCGACGGATTTGCATTTGGCGCCACTGCAAATACCGTGTTGTCGTTTAATCGCATCTCTCTCGAGGTGCGAGGCGAGATTACAAGTGAATTTGCGTTTAGGCGTGTTTCAAGATCCGCAAAGGCAACGACTCGCTCAGTTCTGGGCATTCTTTGAATAGCTGGATCATTTAGCCGCTTTGCATCATCGGCAACTGTCGTCGTATGGCAACACTATTCCCCGCATATCATGGCGAGAATAACTTTGAAAATTTAACGATATTCCCCCACAAGCAATTTCTATATCCCTTACAAACACTCGCTACGGAAATGTCTCGTTGACTCTTGATAAGTTTAATCTTGACATAGTTCAAGAGAAATGCAATTTTCTGCCAAGATTTCTCATGGTGTAAGTATAGTGTGTGTAATTATTTATAGAATTCTAATTTATTACGAGTAGTTGCGATAACGATATTTATGTGATAAGGATTCAAAGAGATTCTTTAATTTGTTTGAATCCTTAGAACTTATGAATATTATTATCAGAACTACTATTCAAGAATTAGGAATTCAAAGAGTGATTTGGGTTCGAAGGGATTAAGGATTCAACGAGAAATAAGAATTAGGAAATTAAGGATTCGATTTCGGATTCGATGAGAAATAAGAATCCAGAAAATTAAGGATTCAACTAAAAATTAGAATTCAGAAATTAAGGATTCAACAAGAAATGAGAATTCAGAGAAATTAAGGATTCAAAGGGATTAAGAATTTAGAAATTCATATAGGAATTCAAACAATAAATGGAATTTGAAGGTACAACAAAAGCCTTTGAAACTAATAAAGAAATGGAGAAAATTTTAATCTGAAATCCACTAAATATTAACGCCGTTGGTGACAATCTATTAAGTTAGTGTTTCAATCTCAAGGTGTATTATGGTTTATAACGTTTATGTCGTCGAATTTACGAGATTTCCGGATAAGATCATAAAGTTTATATCGTTCATTTAGCGAAAAGCAAATTTTCCTCATAACCGACCCATTTTTGCTTTGATGGAGAATATGATACACAGCACAAATTAAATTTTCAAATAATTTTAAAAATCAGGAGAAATTTAAAATTAATTTTAAAATTTAAAAGAAATTTGAAGTTACTTTTAAAAATCAAGAGAGAAATTAAAATTAATTGTTGTTTTTTTTGTTTCCAGTTAAATGTGCACCAAAGATCGTTGGAGGCAGCAGGACTAGAACTCTGTGGAGCGGGGGGAAGTATCCCTCAAGGTCAACCAAGCAGTACTGGTTCAATAGGGTCAGCACCAAGTCCAGCGTCCCCAAGACCGACACCCCAACCTAGAGCACCTCTTGCAACCTCCACTTCGCAGTCTTCGAGGACCCTCGACGATGATAGATCGACGGACGGTGAGATTTCTCTCAGATTTTTAGACAAATTTTTTTTTTACTTTTTTTAAACTAAACTTAACTGAACTTAACTTACAGTTAACCTACAGTTAACCTACCGTTTAGTTTTATTGATACAGTTTTAAATCTAAAATTAGGCTACTTTTCAATCATCTTATGGTTTTTTCTGCTAATTAAAATCCCTTAAAAAAACAAACATTTGCTCGTCTTCCTAGGAGTTATTTTAAATTTAGAGATTATTTTCTAATTTCAAAAGTTTCGTGATCTCTTGCTTATTTCCCTGACTCTGTGTAACTTAATAATAAAGATATGAAGAGGCTCAATTATTTCAGCAGTAGGCGGTGGAACGGCGGCAGAAGACTCGGATGATGGTGAGAGTAGAGCACAATATGTTAGTGCAAATTGTGTGGTTTTCACTCATTACCGAGGAGATGCGGCAACCGAGGTAGATGAACATTTTCATAGAGCCCTTCAACAGGATAATAAACTAAAAGGTGAGAAACTCATTTTTGATGACTAGTTGTTATTTTAAGCTGAAATCAGTAGTAATACTATTTCCACTAACTTATCCACTAATATTGCAACTGTTACTTCTGCTACTACTTCTACTGTTCTTGCTACTGTTACTACTACTACTTCTACTATTACTGGTACTTTTACTGTTACTCCTATTGCTTCTGCTGTAATAATAATGATAGTAGTAGTAGTTTCCTTCTTGACTCTCAAATAGAATAAATTTTCCCAGTTTGCCATAAAATTTTTTATGGAATTACTATACGTCCTATTTAATTTACTTTATTATTGTAAATGTTTCCCCACACGACAAAGATAAGGATGTTGCAGAATATACTTTGATTTTTTGGTATACATAATTTTTAAAAGGAGCAGTTCAAAAGTTGATGACTACAAATATAGAAAAGAATGGAGGAGAGGAGAAATTACTTTTATGAAGATGTTGGGACGGGAGCAAGACTGCGATTCGTCAAAACGTAACCCAGAGCAGATTGATGTGGCGCTACGACTGGATGGCTTGTTATTCGGATTTAGAGCGTTGTCGCCGAAGCGTCTCTTTGAAGACGCCGTGGCGTCCACATGTCAAGTAATTGCAACACTTTTCGCCCATGGAAAGACGCGAAATGAGTTAGAGAAAGAGAAAACCTTTTCATTCTCCCTTGTTTTCTCTCTCTTAAAAGAGAGAGATAGAAAGAGAAAAGGATGGTAAAAGAGAGAGAAAAAAGAGAAAAGGGTGGTAAAAGAGAGAGAAAAGGATGGTAGAAGATAGAGAAAGAGATAGAGAGAAACATCCTTATATGAGTGACATAAGTCGGATGAAGAAAAATTGGAAAAAAGAAGAAACGACGAGTTAGTCGCTCGGCGTTAATTTGACGCTACCGTGCAGAACGACATGCTCAATTTCCCGCAGCTTCAACGTTATTATTGCTTGTTTTGATAAACTCAAGTCAAAAGAGAGAGAGAGAGAAAAAAAAGGGTGAGAGAAAGAGAGAGAGAGAGTTGCACACGCGACAAGATATTTATGCTCGACTGGGAATATTTATGCCTCAATGAGAAACACTCTCTGGAGAAGAGGGTATATCATTTTATCATTCCCGACTATCACTTTTAGTGACACCATCTTCTCAAAGCGATTCACCATTCTCTCATCAGTCGCAATCTCCTATCAGTGATTATGAATAATGACGTCGAGCCCCTTGTGTTTATAAATATTTCATGAACAGAATGATAAAGTGGAGTTGTTGCAAACTCTTCCTTTGTAGTTTATTTATATATGGTCTAGCTTGACTGGCAGACTTCCAGTTATTCTATATGATATGCCTGACAATTGAATTCTTTTTCGCATTCCTCACTTTCCTCGGACTATTTTACTCAAATTTTACACATTTTTATCGAAATTCTCGAGAATGAATCTTTTGTTTGTTGATTTAACGAATTGTACACTGCGAACTGCGGCTTTACTACGTTTTTAGTTTTGGACACTTTTAGATCAGTAAAGTAGTTCAAAGTAGTCGAATGTGCGACTTATGATCATTTTTATCAGGGTTGCCACAAAAATTTAATTTTGCTTTTCCCTGAGTTCCAGACTTTTTCCCTGACCCTGAAGAATATTTTGATTCACTCCATGAATTATTAGATATTAAAAAAAATGTTCTATTACATTTATTTACAAATTTCTTCTGTGCAGTAGTAGTTGCAGTGTATGCAGTACTAGTTTTTGTAGTAATTGTAGTAGTAGTACTAGTAGTAGATTATCGATTGACCTTTTAATAAAGGGATAGTTTTTCTCTTGGGATAGATTTTCGCTTTTCGCCATGGCACCTGTCCCAACCAAGGGGAGAAAAGACCTTGTGGCCTTTCTTTGAGGAATCTCGAGCTTAAACAGTAGTCATCTACTTCTGTCCTTATGTGCCTTACTCGACATTCCAGATCTAAAATCGTCTCGCAAATTCTCGCGCCCATTCTCCTTCTCTCTTTGAGCAGTTGCGCTACTCCTAAGACAAGAAGCTCTTAATTTACCTCTCTCCTACCCCAGAGTGGTGTGTCAGTTTGTTGCGAAGTAAGAGTAAGATAGCAACTGACTAAGAGAGAAAAAAAGGGAAAAGAGATAGAGAAAAGTGTAACGAAAAGAGAGAGAGAGAGAGAGAGACAGAGAGCAAGAGAGAGCAAAGAAAAGAAAAAAGAAGAGATGGTAAGAAGGCACATAACAATTAGGTCGTGTTGTCTTGAATTCTAAGCAGGCTAGTGAACTGATCCTTGAGTACCGTCGGGATAAATGTGGCCTTAAACGACACCGATATAGCCATGAGGCTCTGATCGCTTGCCAAACTCTCCGCCAACACCCTGAATCTCCCTTCACTTTCCGCATCCCTTCCCATATAGTATATACACGTTTCCACTTCGCCTCTCCTCGCAAAGCAGCTTCGAAGTTTTAACTCTTCTTGATGCACGACGGCGGAACAATTGTTCCGGTGCTTGTTAGCGTTGTCGTGGCTAATGGCGCACTTTATAACATCGAGACTCTCTCTCTCTCTTATTCGGACCCTGAAAACCTGACCAGCTTTGATTCCTTCAACAAGCGCATTGCATTCATCTTCCCTCCCGTGAGAAATTTCATTATTTTATCCTCGTCCGATATTTTCACACTCAATGCCAATTTTTTAACCGCGCATTTCAATCGATACTGATGGCATTTACCATTTATTAAAATAAGTGCATGTCGTTTGTCAATTTTAATATCATTCTGCTGTAGTTTTATACAGAAGCACTTCTAAACTAATGTCTAAACTATTATCTTCACAGTCTATTACCAGCTAAAAAAGTTCTATAGAATTTCAGTAAGTGATCCATAAATGGTCTGTAATTTTTTATTTTTGGTCCGTAAAAAAATGTCCACAAAAGGAAGAGAAGAACAAAAAATAAATAAATAATAACTATTGAAAATTATAAATACTGCAAAAAGAATAAAAAGAAAAAGAAGGAGCTTAAAAATAAATTTACAATGTGAACAATCGTAAAAATCCATTGCAATCTATTCCGGTATATTTTTCTAAATTGAATAAGAGATCAGATTAGATAAAAGCGAAGCGCTAAAGGAGGCGAAGTGATAAAATATAATTGATGCTTGAGAATACGAATTAAACCAGTTTTTGATCGTTTTCATCTTCGATTCAACACTATCTTATATAAGCATTCGTGGTTTATGCATCCCGGATTATATATATAATAAGAAATAAATAAAGTAAAAGAGCGCTTTCTTCCGCGTTCATCTCTCGATCCAGCTGCTGCGCGGTCCAGTTTTGTTATTTTAAATGCATACATGTATATATTAAGTATATTAACACAACACACGGAATATTCTTTGCGTGCGAAATGGTCCATTAATCCTAGAAGTCTTGACTCTCTGCGCTTATCGAGGGACATCTGTCGTGGTTGACCTTCGGCGAAGAGGTCCCCGATGTAAACGTCGATCTACGGGAGATCAGCTTGAACCTCGGACTATATCTCTCTCTCGACTCCTTTTTCCTTCTTTCTTTAGCTCGAGCAGTCCCACAACACCGCGGCATCGCAGGGCCTTGGCCACAGAAGAAAGCCGACTCCGAGGCACTCCGAGGCTCCGACACTCTGTTTCTTTAATTGCGTTAATAAATAAAGGACAGTCGGCCGAGCCTAGAACATTCAGAGGCATTGGGAGAGAGAATCCGAGGGAGTGGAAACAGGACAGATTCGAGAGAGGAAGATGGAACGATTGCGAGGGCAAAAAGAAACGAGAGGACTGAGGAATCGAGGGGAGTCGATGAATAGGAGAGAGAGGAGGAGGAGGAGAAAATAGTCTAAAAAGAGAGGATTTTTTTTTCTTTTTTCTTTTATCTGTTCTTCTTTCTTTCTTTTATTCCGAAAGAGAGAGAGAAAGAGAGAGTGAGAATTTATATATTTATTTATAGAAAACAATAAAAGGGAAGAGAAAAAGAAATTACAGTTGAACCTCGATAAGCGAGAAACGTCCATAAACAAAAGTATACTCATTTTGAGGTTATCCTGAAGTTCACAACGTATTAGAAACAAATTCGCAAAAATAATTCGACGATTTTATTTTTCTAAAAATAATTTGAAATATTTATATTAATCTATATTAATATTTATATTAATCTGTATTAATATCTATATTAATAACCGTTGTATCCAAGTAATCTGTTCGCAGTTTGAAGTTTTTCTTTTTAAATGTTTAAAATTATAAAATTAATGTACTAATCATTGAATTCTTGTAATTTATAAAAAAAAAAAAATTGAAAATAATTGAATTTTATGACGAATTCAATTATTTTCAATAATTGTAATAAAATTCTTTAGTCAATTTATAAATGATTATTTTTTCTATTTACAGTCGAAATAAAAAAATTATTTAAAAAATTTTTAATTAAATTAGGAAAAATTTTCCTATTGGAAAAAATTCAAAAAAATTTTAATAAAATTCTTTAAAACGATTTAATTATTTTCACAAATTTTTCGTAATTAAATGATTTTTATATCTACTATTTGAATAAAAAATTTCCCAAAAGAATTGAATAATTTAAAAAAAAATGTTTAGGTATAAAATTCTTCGTAAATATTCCATTATTTTTATAAATAAAAAAATGTTCACAGGAATTTAATTATTCAAAACAGAATTTTCCTAATATTATTCGAAAAAAATTAATTATTTAAATACATTTTTATAAAATTCTTCGCAAGAATTCAATTAATTTTATAAATAATGAAATTCTTCTCAGTTTTTCAATTATTATTTAAAATTTTAATAATAATCTTTAAAAGAATTCAATTATATTTATAAATATTAAAACTCAACGCAGGATTTTAATTATTTTAAATACAATTTTAATAAAATTTTTCTTAAAAATTCACTTATTTTTTAAAATTTTGCAAAAATTGAATTATTTGCAGAAATAATAAATTTTTTTTGTCTGGGATTCAATATTATTTA